GTCTGTCTGAAATGTAAATTCTGTCTAAGGAGTGTGATGTCTGTCTGAAATTTAAAGTCTGCCTAGTGTGTGATGTCTGTCTGAAATGTAAAGTCTGTCTAGTGTGTAATGTTTGTCTAAAATATAAAGTCTGTCTAGTGTGTGTGTGATGTCTGTCTGAGATGTAAAGTCTGTCTAGTGTGTGTGATGTCTGTCCTAAATGTAAAGTCTGTCTAGTGTGTGTGATGTATGTCTGAGATGTAAAGTCTGTCTAGTGTGTGTGATGTCTGTCTGAAATGTAAAGTCTGTCTAGCATGTGTGTGATGTCTGGCTGAAATGTAAAGTATGTCTAGTGTGTGCGATGTCTGTCTGAATTGTAGTCTGTCTAGTGTGTCTGATGTCTGTCTGAAATGTAAATTCTGTCTAAGGAGTGTGATGTATGTCTGAAATGTAAAGTATGTCTAGTGTGTGTGGTGTCTGAAATGTAAAGTGTGCCTAGTGTGTGTGATGTCTGACTGAAATGTAAAGTATTTCTATTGTGTGTGATGTCTGTCTGAAATGTGAAGTCTGTCTAGTGTGTGTGATGTCTGTCTGAAATGTAAAGTCTGTCTAGTTTGTGTGTGATGTATGTCTAAAATGTAAAGTCTGTCTAGTGTGTGTGATGTCTGCCTGAAATGTAAAGTCTGTCTAGTGTGTGTGATGTCTGCCTGAAATGTAAAGTCTGTCTAGTGTGTGTGATGTCTGCCTGAAATGTAAAGTCTGTCTAGTGTGTGTGATGTCTGTCTGAAATGTAAAGTCTGTCTAGTGCAGTGGTCTCCAACCTGGATGGTATTCACCCCTGGGGATGGGGGCAGTGAGGAAATTTCAAACCGGGCGACAAGCAATTTTTAAAATGAGTTACTTTGTGCTGGTAATAATCAATTGTACTAACATTTTCTTTTTAATTTAATTATGAATATTTATTTTGTGAGTGTGGGTAAAACTATAAATTAAATAAAAAAAAAAAAAACAGAAATGCTTTTGTTTTCATTAGCAGTTTCTACATGTACTGTTAAAAATTGAATTAATATGATAACACCAGCATTTAATTATAGATTAAGAACACATTCTCCTCTTTTTGATCCCTTTTTGTTACGCTGAGGGGGGGGGGGGGTGTCATTGGGGGTGGGGGGGGGGGGTGTTTTACCATATACCTGAAAAGGTTTGAGACCACTGGTCTGGTTTGTGCTTTCTATCTTTTCTGCACTGTCTATTGTGTGATGTCATTACAATTTATCTTGTTTGCCCCCTACAGCGTCCATCATTATTCTCTCAACCCCCCCCCCCTACCCCCGTGTCTTCTCACTTTTTCACATTCTAATTTAAAACAATGTTTAGCAGCATATTCCAGAGGCAGACCTTTTTGTGTGGAAACAAGTCCTTTACCCTGTGTTCACGTTGGGCCCACTCAACATAAACAATCACGACTAGACAAAAAATGCAACAGGAAAAGTATGAGTCTCAATCTTTGGCTTGCTACTAGTGGACTCTAGAAGTTTCTGTCAGTTTTGCTGCAGATCTAGATATTTTTAACTTAAAAAAGTCTTTAACAGACTGCAGTGTTTTTGACAATATTAGGACATGTTTTTTTTTTTAGGATGCTCATAAAAAAAAACCACAAGATAACTTGTGCAATTTTATTTATTTAATCTACAAAACTGGTTACCAAAAAAAAAAAAAATGTATAATCTAATATGCTGAGGTAAAGAATAATACTAAAATTGCAACTGAATAAAAAAGGAATATTACATTATTTTTGTCTAAGTTGGAGTAAATTAAATGCTGAAAATAAGCAACTACGGCAAGAAAAATATGAACATGGAAATGAGAGGCTGAAAGATTATTGGTCAGACAAACAGATCAAAGGTTAAAATGGAGCTGCTGTAACTTTAAACTAATCATAGGAAATTTATGGGGAAGTAAATGCTGCCAGGGATACTGATGAGACAATTCCTCCAGTGTAAAATGGTCTATGGGATGATGTTATAGAGAATGCCTGACCTTGACCTACAGTTCGTGGTAAGAGTGATCATTGGCCAAGACAGGGGCGACCCGGCATATGAGATCATGTGACTAGGCAGATAAGGAGAGAAAAAGAGTTTAATCAAGATTTACTGTCTGATTGTGGCCTTGAGTAGCATTTGAGAAAAGGGCAAAATGTGAATGGAAATTACATAGATGCTGATCAAGAAGACTAACTCTGGTCACCAGGAATGAACCATGTGACACATGGTGACCATATTGTCCCGTTTTCGCTGGGACAGTATTGTTTTTTAAGTGGGACCAGACGGTCGCATTGTCTCACCTTCCCCCCCCCCCCCTCTTTTTCTTTCAATTGTAACTTGGAAGAACTGCCCTACTTAATTAAACAAATACTATCCTGGTGAATACGGGACGATTTAGGTCACTCGAATGTGACATCATGAATGCAGTTAAGTTTATGCAGCATGTGGTGATTAGGTTGTGAATGTTCAAGAACAGTGGATATCAACCTGTGGGTCACAACCCCTTTGGGGTCAAACAACCCTTTCACAGAGGTCGCCTAAGACCATCGAAAAAAACATATTCTTTGAAGTTATGAAGTAGCAGGTAGGTTGGGGGTCACAACAACATGAGGAACTGTATTAAAGGGTCGCGGCATTAGGAAGGGTGGGAACCAGTGTTCTAGAAGGACTGATACAGAATGTAAATAGTTCTATATTAACTTGGTGAGGCAAATAGATGGATTCTGATCTTGCTAGAGCATAGATAACATTACATGAGTGGGAGAGACTGGCAACTGCAGGACAGCACACAGTAGGGGCCGATATTTTCTAAGAAGTAGAAGAATTACTGACGCAGATATTAGGCAATGTCAATGGAAGTTAGTATGCATATCAACATAATTTACTGAAGCAAGGCAGCAAAGATTTTCTGTAAATACAGCACCCTGATAATGGTCAAAACAAATGTGTACATGTCAAACTTCTGGTAACATGTGCAATACAGTTTGCAACAGTAAAATAATAATTAATATTATATATAAAAGCACTTTAGTAATGGGACTAATATATAATGCGTGGAATGAAAATTTGTGTTAATATTGCTGTATGGAAGAGATAAGTGGGTGGCTGGTGAATTTTTTGGTAAAATAATGACAACAAAACAGAAGTGACAAAACAATTGACTATGCAGATACACGTCTGCTAGTCTGCACCGCCCAGTCATCACTTTTAGCTTTTGTCACAGTAGAACAACAACCGGATTCCATGTATGGCAGTCAGTGATCATAATTAAGTCAATGATCATTATCAAACAGAACTGTTTTTTTTTTTTTCATGTGTTTACATTTTTCTGGTGCAATGCATTGAAGAAAGTTTTGTTGCATAGGACTTACATTCAAGAGAAAGGCGGAATGGACAGACACACAATCATTGGGGAAAAAAAACTGCACTTGCTGCTGAAGATTGTGATGATGCTTGTGGGAGTGTAATGAGTGGGACATCCTATGAGTCAGAAAGGGTTCTAAAGTGTGACGGGTTAATTGTCAAGGGTCAGTTAAAGTGGAACTAGCAAATGAGTGTGAAAGAAGTAAGCTGGTGATTTCTCATGAACAAGTGAGTGATAGGAAGCAGAATCTCATGGATGGAAAGAAATAATTGGATGCGAGGAAGTAGGAATGATCAGCTGGTGTTCGACAGTAAGAGATAAAGGCTGGGATGATTGAAACGAGTGTCTAGAGTGAACCCTAACAGCTGACAGTGGGATCAAGCATCTCGTCTGCAGTGAAAATGGCTGAGCCAAAAGTATGTTGAACGACAGAGTGGCCGAGAATGCTTGTTGTGCTGTGCCTCAACTCTAGATGCAGAGTAGGTAATCTAGACGTCTGATTTGACATTTTAGATCAATCTGGGAGCAGAAATATATGAGATGAATATCCAGTATAAATGGAACTTGTGAATTACAAGGTAAATAGCTGAGTGTTTGGGCTGTACATCTGAAGTGTGATAGATCACCTACAAGACCTCTCCTACAAGAACGAGTGATGACCCAGGATAGCAACAAACTGATGCGACTACTGGAACAGCAATAAACATTTGATGTAAACTGAGCATTTTTATCATCTGGTGTGATTGGTGTTAATTTAACCAGTCGGAGGAGAGGAAAAGTGAGGTTACAGCTGATCAAGAATTGAGCCAAGGTGACACATTACAATTATGTTCCTAATATTGTAATGTGGAATCTTAATTCAAGGTTCAACACTGAATTTTTAATCCGTGTGGGACTTGCACACTATCAGCTGCAATGTTTTAATCATCCCAACAGAACAAAAGAACAATGATTAATATTAAATGGGAGGTCACACATGAGTGATCCAGTTCCCGTGCACTTCAAATGTTGAGGGTAAGGCAGGCTGTCCTGAGCACGCAATGAAACAAACTATAGCATCATGATGTAATGTACACTGTCACACAATCACATAGGAGACACCAATGGCATGGGCTGAACGTGTACATAACAGGTAGAAGCCAGCCGAGAAGTACTGAAGCTAAGCTCAAGGAGGTTAGTTGCAAGCGTTTTCTTTCAGCTAAAAAACTAGCACTAATTCACTAAGGAAACATTTTAAAAATGTAATCTCATAAAGTAAAATGCTTTTTTTAATTATTATTTATTATTGGTCAGCAAGCTGTTATATTCAATATGTGTTATCAAGATAATTTAAGAGAGAAATATCCTTTAATTTGTAAGCAGTAACTGATAAAGCATCACTATACAAAAAAAAATGTTTATATTTGTTCCGTTTCTTCATAAAATAGAATGACTTTAAACATTCTTTTATCTACATAATAATTTATGCTACTGACCTAGCTGGTTAGCCAATATTTAATACCTGTAGCGGGAGAGGGTGGTTGTGTAACAAAAGCAGGAAGTCTTCAATGCCAAGATAGAATGGAGAGCTGTAACGAGCCAAAGATAAGAATCCTACTTTCCTTCAGAAATACCTGTCCCTTCAGCGATAGCCTGCCCCAGAAAAGCCTCCATCACCGCAAACTCTACTGGAGTCCCGTAATCCTTAGCGCTGTTGTACAGACTCCAGTAGAATGACTCGGCTTCTCTTGGGAAAATCTTCAGGATATAGTTGGAGGCAGTGATCGCCACCTAGTGGGGTTCAAACAATGACACCATTAAGTCTTTGGTACCTGCGTGGCATGGTTTCTACAATAAGCACAGATGGTTAACTACGCCAGGTTGGCTGTCAGTGCCCGATGTTTTCATTATTTTCAGTTGAGCTGAGCTGAGTTGAGTCAAGAATTGACATCACAGCATGCGGGATATTCCCATGCATGCTCTGCCCTCATCTTCAGCAGCCAGCGAAGAGTTCCAATACTGATGGTACCAGTCACAATCTGGTATTATGTCCGTCTAATAATCATATGTTTTCACTGATTCTGTTGCTTGTTCGCAAAGGGCCTTGACCACATCTGCCTTTTAATGCATCAATTCACCACCCAGTGGTGCAGATCCAGTCAATCTGTCTTCCTGTTTATTACCCACTACACCTACATAGCCTGGAGAAAGTATCCAAAGTATGCTCACAACCCGTGACCTTCCCAGTGAAGCTTGCCACTCTGCTCGAAGCATCCTTGTCTTCATCTTTCTCAGCATACCTTCTGAGTCTGTTACAATTAGGAGGGGGAGGAGAGAGAGACAGAAAAGAAGTAGAAGACACAGCAGAACTTATCTTACCTTCACAAAGTTCCCATATGTATTTCTGTTGCAGTGCAGTGCCATCTGGAACACGTACTGAACATTTGGCCACTCCTGAATGAGGCCAGCAAATACCAGGCCTTTCCTGCCATGTGCGTGCATGTTGGCTTCAATACTCATGAGCACACGACCAAGGAAGTGGATGTACCTGGAAAAAACCCAGCCAGGTGACACAATCCCTTTAATTCGTTGTGGTGCCATCTTCACATCAAAGATCATCTATAAGTGATCTAGAAAATCTCGTTACTCAGCCTAATTCCACTTTCAATCAATCAAAAATCTTCTTCACGTTCACTGACTGTAAACTTTGATGGAAGGTTCTGGTTGTTCATCCTCTTCTGGATGTTAGTCTTGTTCTAGAACCTGAATGTTGTGTGCACATCTATTTTACATCTATTTTATCTGAATGCAGACTGTTGGTTCCTTGCCTCTCACGCAGATACACTCTGACATTGAAGGAAGCTTCCAATTAGTCGACTTTTATTACATGCTAGTTGGGCAGGCAGTGAGTCTATTCTTGTTTTCCCCATACAATGGGACTCTGGAACCCACATGGGGGTAATCAGTCAACCAATCAATCAGCGTTATGTTATGTTATCTTAATCTACATCACTACACACTGGGCATTCCCATTTATGCTCAGGCTTCCTATGTAGCAGCCACTTCAAGGTACTTCTACTACATGAGAAAAAAGTAAAAATGTCTCTTACCTCGGCCTTGAAAGCAGCATAGATGTGCTTTACAATGTTTTATCAATCCAGTGCTACACCATGCTTCATCAGTCCAGTGCTACACCATACTTTATCAATTCAGTGCTACACCATACTTTATCAATCCAGTGCTTCACCATACTTTATCAATCCAGTGCTACAGCATGCTTCATCAGTCCAGTGCTACACCATACATTATCAATCCAGTGCTACACCATACTTCATCAATCCAGTGCTACACCATACTTCATCAGTCTAGTGCTACACCATACTTTATCAATCTAGTGCTACACCATGCTTCATCAATCTAGTGTTACACCATACTTCATCAGTCCAGTGCTACACCATGCTTCATCAGTCCAGTGCTACACCATACTTCATCAATCCAGTGCTACACCATACTTCATCAATCCAGTGCTACACCATACTTCATCCGTCTAGTGCTACACCATACTTTATCAATCTAGTGCTACACCATGCTTCATCAATCTAGTGCTACACCATACTTCATCAGTCCAGTGCTACACCATGCTTCATCAATCCAGTGCTACACCATACTTCATCAGTCCAGTGCTACACCATACTTTATCAATCTAGTGCTTAACCATACTTCATCAGTCCAGTGCTACACCATGCTTAATCAATCTAGTGCTACACCATACTTCATCAGTCCAGTGCTACACCATGCTTTATCAATCTAGTGCTACACCATACTTTATCAGTCCAGTGCTACACTATGCTTTATCAATCCAGTGCTACACCATGCTTCATCAGTCTAGTGCTACACCATGCTTCATAAGTCTAGTGCTACACCATGCTTCATCAGTCTAGTGCTACACCATGCTTCATCAGTCTAGTGCTACACCATGCTTCATCAGTCTAGTGCTACACCATGCTTCATCAGTCTAGTGCTACACCATGCTTCATCAATCTAGTGCTACACCATGCTTCATCAGTCTAGTGCTACACCATGCTTCATCAGTCTAGTGCTACACCATGCTTCATCAGTCTAGTGCTACACCATGCTTCATCAGTCTAGTGCTACACCATGCTTCATCAGTCTAGTGTTACACCATGCTTTATCAGTCTAGTGCTACACCATACTTTATCAATCCAGTGCTACACCATACTTTATCAATCCAGTGCTACACCATGCTTTATCAATCAGGTGCTACACCATGCTTTATCAATCCAGTGCTACACCATGCTTTATCAATCCAGTGCTACACCATACTTTATCAATCCAGTGCTACACCATACTTTATCAATCCAGTGCTACACCATACTTTATCAATCTAGTGCTACACCATACTTTATCAATCCAGTGCTACACCATACTTTATCAATCCAGTGCTACACCATACCTTATCAATCCAGTGCTACACCATACTTCATCAATCCAGTGCTACACCATACTTTATCAATCCAGTGCTACACCATACTTTATCAATCCAGTGCTACACCATACTTCATCAGTCTAGTGCTACACCATACTTCATCAATCTAGTGCTACACCATGCTTCATCAGTCTAGTGCTACACCATACTTTATCAATCCAGTGCTACACCATACTTTATCAATCCAGTGCTACACCATACTTCATCAATCTAGTGCTACACCATACTTTATCAATCCAGTGCTACACCATACTTCATCAATCTAGTGCTAAACCATGCTTTATCAGTCTAGTGCTACACCATACTTTATCAATCCAGTGCTACACCATGCTTCATCAGTCTAGTGCTACACCATGCTTCATCAGTCTAGTGCTACACCATGCTTCATCAATCCAGTGCTACACCATAATTTATCAATCCAGTGCTACACCATGCTTCATCAGTCTAGTGCTACACCATGCTTCATCAGTCTAGTGTTACACCATACTTCATCAATCCAGTGCTACACCATGCTTCATCAGTCTAGTGCTACACCATGCTTCATCAGTCCAGTGCTACACCATACTTTATCAATCTAGTGCTACACCATGCTTTATCAATCCAGTGATACACTATACTTTATAAATCCAGTGCTACACCATACTTCATCAGTCTAGTGCTACACCATACTTCATCAGTCTAGTGCTACACCATACTTCATCAGTCCAGTGCTACACCATACTTCATCAGTCTAGTGCTACACCATACTTCATCAGTCTAGTGCTACACCATACTTCATCAGTCTAGTGCTACACCATACTTCATCAGTCTAGTGCTACACCATACTTTATCAATCCAGTGCTACACCATGTTTTATCAATCCAGTGCTACACCATACTTCATCAGTCTAGTGCTACACCATACTTTATCAATCCAGTGCTACACCATGTTTTATCAATCCAGTGCTACACCATACTTCATCAGTCTAGTGCTACACCATACTTCATCAGTCTAGTGCTACACCATACTTCATCAGTCCAGTGCTACACCATACTTTATCAATCCAGTTCTACACCATACTTCATCAGTCTAGTGCTACACCATACTTTATCAATCCAGTGCTACACCATACTTCATCAGTCCAGTGCTACACCATGCTTTATCAATCCAGTGCTACACCATACTTTATCAATCCAGTGCTACACCATGCTTCATCAGTCTAGTGCTACACCATACTTCATCAATCTAGTGCTACACCATACTTCATCAATCTAGTGCTACACCATACTTCATCAGTCCAGTGCTACACCATACTTCATCAGTCCAGTGCTACATCATGCTTTATCAATCCAGTGCTACACCATGCTTCATCAGTCTAGTGCTACACCATACTTCATCAATCTAGTGCTACACCATACTTCATCAGTCCAGTGCTACACCATACTTTATCAATCCAGTGCTACACCATGCTTTATCAATCCAGTGCTACACCATGCTTTATCAATCCAGTGCTACACCATGCTTCATCAGTCCAGTGCTACACCATACTTTATCAATCCAGTGCTACACCATACTTCATCTATCCAGTGCTACACCATACTTCATCTATCCAGTGCTACACCATGCTTTATCAATCCAGTGCTACACCATACTTTATCAATCCAGTGCTACACCATGCTTCATCAGTCTAGTGCTACACCATACTTCATCAATCTAGTGCTACACCATACTTCATCAATCTAGTGCTACACCATACTTCATCAGTCCAGTGCTACACCATACTTCATCAGTCCAGTGCTACATCATGCTTTATCAATCCAGTGCTACACCATACTTTATCAATCCAGTGCTACACCATGCTTCATCAGTCTAGTGCTACACCATACTTCATCAGTCTAGTGCTACACCATACTTCATCAGTCCAGTGCTACACCATACTTTATCAATCCAGTGCTACACCATGCTTTATCAATCCAGTGCTACACCATGCTTCATCAGTCCAGTGCTACACCATGCTTCATCAATCCAGTGCTACACCATACTTTATCAATCCAGTGCTACACCATACTTCATCTATCCAGTGCTACACCATACTTCATCTATCCAGTGCTACACCATGCTTCATCAATCCAGTGCTACACCATACTTTATCAATCTAGTGCTACACCATACTTTATCAATCCAGTGCTACACCATACTTTATCAATCCAGTGCTACACCATACTTTATCAATCCAGTGCTACACCATACTTTATCAATCCAGTGCTACACCATACTTCATCAGTCTAGTGCTACACCATGCTTTATCAGTCTAGTGCTACACCATGCTTCATCAGTCTAGTGCTACACCATACTTCATCAATCCAGTGCTACACCATACTTTATCAATCCAGTGCTACACCATACTTTATCAATCCAGTGCTACACCATGCTTCATCAGTCTAGTGCTACACCATGCTTCATCAGTCTAGTGCTTCACCATACTTTATCAATCCAGTGCTACACCATACTTCATCAGTCCAGTGCTACACCATACTTCATCAGTCTAGTGCTACACCATGCTTTATCAATCCAGTGCTACACCATACTTTATCAATCCAGTGCTTCACCATGCTTTTATAAATTAATAAATCAATCAATCAATCAAGAGCCATCACTACAATGAAGGTCGGCGGTCATGGCGATCCAAAAGACTTTGTGTCTGACCCTGTTTGTACACTTAGCTTTTAGCTCATCTCTTGATGTTGTTTTACCACTTGTATCACTGTCTGCATGCTGCGCATCTGCTTTCAACTTTCTCTTCTAATATGGTTTTTAAGAAGTGTGGTATGTGTTCTAATGTGGCTAGAATATTTCACCTATTTGGAAGGGGGGGGGGGTGGACTTCATAATGTTTTCATTCCTACCCAGTCTCTCTGTCAGGGTCTGTGGCTTAAGCATTGCGAAGGCGCTTTGTAATTCTGGGGTGCCAGGTTCAATCCAAGCTGCAGGCCTTGCGCTTGTCTCGACAGTGGTATCAAGAAGCCGACTGTCCAGAAAGCAATGACCAACTCATCATCATCATGTAGCAGGTGCTTTGCAGAATGTCGCTCTTATCACGGTCTGCCTGAAATACACTCGGCCTCTCACTTCATGTACTTTCATACTCAAGGAGTCACTTATATCCTGTGCCCATCTTTGTGCTGGGCAGCGCCTACCCCCCCCCTTCCTGGTACCATGCCTTCTGTTATTATTTGTTTCCAATCCGTCGTGCCACTTGATATGATCAAAATATTTCAGCTTCTGAGACAGGATGCTGTTTATTACCTAATCTTCCTTGACGTTCAGATCTTTCAAGATGTCAGTATTTCTCCTTTTTTTATCCTCAAAATTCTGAGAATCTTTCTATAGCATTTCAGCTCAAAAGGTCCTATTTTCATTCTTAAGGACATGGAGATAGTCCAAAACTCACATCCGTATGTTGCTACAGGGAAGATGCATGCTCTCAAAATTCTAATTTTGATCTCCTTGCTGGTGCTTAACCATAGACTTTAAAGGCTGTTTAATCTTTGCATTGCTATGGCCATTCTCCATTTAATTTCTGTCAAATAGTCTCCATTGCTTTTTATTATAGAGCCCAGATATTTAAAGTCTGTGACATTTTCAGCTTCTTCATCATTTATTGTTATTTTTGGGTGACAGCAAACTTGGGTGAATGGCAAACTACTGGACGTAAACTTGCCTAGAAAAACCACAAAAGCAAAAAATAAAAATGCTGGGGTTGGTTCTGCAACGTCCTGTAAAGGATATGAAACTAACACACCTGTCTTTCTAGTTTCCATGGTATCTGACTGATTTATTTCCTTCTGTTATTCTGTGTATTCATAGACTATGTGAGAGAGAGAGAGAGAGAGAGAGAAAACCAAAGAGTACAGAGACAGAGTCAGGAAAAGGAAGTGGGACAGAGACTGCGAAGGAGAAAGACACAGAGAGGACAGTAAGGAAGGACAGCGTTGTGTGTATTGTTGCGTTTCTTGAAATGGACAGTCATCCTAGTTTTGCTGCAATGTGTTTGTTGGAGGAAGTCACAAACGACTGAAGCCCTGTTAGAGTATTTGTTTGGCCGCCATAATTTGGGGATGAAGTTCGGAAAGCTGGAATTTTTGTTGTAAAAATAGTTAATCTTTAGGTTATCAGGCATATTTCAGACTGAGTGAATCCAGTAATCTTCATGTGATCTGGCATGTCTCTCAGACTAGCAACAAACTTCCACTCATTTATCTACCTTATATTCATTTTCAATTACCAGAAAAGGGGAAATAATCACGAAACGTACTCACCGGTTACGGGTGTTATCCAGCCAGCGCTCTGGCAGGAGTTGTCTATCCCTGTCGGAAGACACTATGGAGTGGTAGACGATCAGCGGATGTATGACCAGGCGTCTGATGCCAGGGAGTGATCGAACTAGGTGGTTTTTTTTGAGGTAGCTGATCATCTTCTGTAAGTGCACCTGGTCCAGGTCGGAGCTGTTGACGTACTCCAGGTGTGCTTAAAAAAAAAAAAAACCAGTCCAGGTAATTAATGCACCTCATAATGTATCCATTGGAAACAGGTGCAGTACAGAATGTGCACTCAATATTAATTTTAACTATTTCAGTACCAAAAAGTTTGACGAATTATAAATGAAGTTGAGAAAACCCACTTCCCTGTGTGGGTTCTGGGGTCCTATTATAAGGAAATCAAGAACAGACCCACTGCCTGCCCAAAAGCATGTCATAAGAGTCGACTAATTGGGAGCTTCCTTCAAAGTCGGAGTGCATCTGCCTGAAAGGCAAGGAACCAGCAGTCTGCATAAAAATGAGTCAGATCTGTAAAACGGATGTACACGCAACACTCAGGTTCTGGAGCAGGACTGCAGTCCACAAGTGGAGAAACAACCAGAACTTTCTGCCAGAGTTTACAGCTGGTGAGCGCGAAGAAGAAAAACAAGAAGAAAACCCACTAAAGAAAATTATGAATGAATGACCTATATTCAAAGTGGCAATAGCAGTAGTAATCTTTGATGGAACTAGATTATCTTTAGTAAGTTCTGACAAAATATAACAGGTAACACCATGCTGTGGAGTGAACTCCAGTGGTTGAATAATACAGACACCAGTCACTGCTTGCGTCTGAAAGAGTTAAATAAACAATAAATAACAAAAAGACTGAAAGAGTTAAAAAAAAAACAGATAACAATAAGACTCTGAAGATCAGCAGTAGAAAGGAGAGAACAACAATGACTACCACAGCGAGTGAGGAGATGCTAGCAGAACTAACAGGCTTCTCCAGTGCCTATACCACAGCAGCTGTTTTACAGATTGAAATATAACAACAAATGATGTTAATTGCATATCTTGTACAAGTTGTAGGATCAACCCCAGTTTTTCTAGGCAAGTTTTTGTTTAATAGTTGGCCAATTTTTTTTTTCTCTACAGTCAGCTCTCTGCACCACTGTCAAAACCAACACAAGGCAGTCTGCTACCAAGTTGCCTACTGCCCCCCACCCCCCAGCGTTATTTAGCAGGTTCGCATCCAGTCGTTGAATTAATATGATGGCAGAAGTGAAGTCAAAATTATAAACATGATACAAATGGCTAAAGTGTTTTAAACAACAGAACAGAAGAAATACAGAAACATATTTAAAACACATTTAAAACAAGATGTGTCAAATGTTATCTATATTTAATGCTGTTGTTGTACTTGGTATAGAAACAGGGACAATGAATTAGGTAATTAGAAAGTTTTTTTAGAAGATGTGAATATACAGAAGCATAGGTCACATTTCATAGAGAAAAAAACAATGAAATACGGAGTTTCTAGAGAGGCTGTGAATGAAACAATAGTAGATTAAATAAATAAAACAGACACACGCAATTCTGCCCACATTAAAAGACATGGTATAAAAACCCTACTAAGGAAACAGCTGAAGCTAATGGGCAAAAGCGATACAAGTGGGCAAATACAAGATAGACAAATAACAGTCTAACAGTGTACAACTGTTGTGAAAGAAGAGTGAGTTGAAACATGCATCCACTGGGGCCAGCCTTCACAATGAAGATGGCAGCACCTGATTGATGGAATGTACTCAGTAGAAATCATGAAAATACTGTGCCCATCAAGAAACACAAAGTGCTAAAGCAATCTCCACTGTAGATCTTGAAGAGCTGGAGCACCAAACTGGGCATCAGTCTCACCAGGCATGGATGCTCTTGTCTGTTGAGCTATCCATAATATTCCACACAGCCTTGACCTTGTCAGCTTTAAAATAAACTGACTTGCTGCCCAGAGGGTCAGATGTCAGCCAGTCTTTCAACCTGCTCAATGCCCCCACACATCGGCATGACCTGATAAGAAAATCCACTATTCGCTCCTGACCTGAGTCTTTATTAAGTGACACAAGTCACTTTACACACAACACAGCAGTTTCAATTTTACTTTAATTTAAATGATTCAAGAAGGAAATATGACATAAGGTATGTAACACATCCAGTAATAAAAATTAAATAAACTTTGCTGCCTCAGAAAAATAAGATCTTACATTATTAAGTGTTGGCAAATACTAACAGGATCCTTTATTAACTAAATGGTGAATGTTGAATTAAGAACAATAGCACTCAGGAAATTCACATAAGTGCTCCCTCTCCATCTACATCAGCAAGTGAAGAGCTCCAGTTCCGATAGTACCAGTAACTGTCTGATTGGATGTTCGTCTCACCTTTCCCTTGAGTGTCGAGCATCAGCCAGATCCACTGGTAACTCCTCGCAGCGCCATTCTCCTCAGGCCATAGTGATCTACCTTCACCTCCGCACTATTCACTGGCTCCCAAAGGGCCCTCACAACATCCAGCTTGTCATACATCAATTCCCCACCAAGTGATGCAGAACCGGCCATTCTATCTGTCTGCTCATTTCCCAACACACCAGCATAACCTGGAGAAAATATTCAAAGGACACTGACTACCCGGGACCTTGTGATTATTAAATGTACAAAACACAAATAAAATAAGATCCCATGCTAATTAATTGTTTGAAAACACACACAAAAATGAAACCATTGACTGGTCTCTGCAAAGTAGATCATAAGTCATTGCTTACCTTCAGTGAAAGAGTTTTCGATGGAATGCATGAAGTGAGTCAAAAAACGAAGATCATGTTTGGACACCCACGAGTCGACCTCCTGCAGGCGGTTCTCAAAAAGCTGTGACAACAAGTCCTGATTTTTGTTGATAATTTTCTCCAACTTCTCCAGGGTCACATGACAATTTTTGACAACTAAATATTCTTCCGCTATCAGACGAACAGCTTCGGGAAAACAAAATGTCTTGGCCAGAACATTTGCATAGCTGACGAAATCATCAATATGTGGCACGTAATACTGCAAGAGTTGAATAATATCAATTACAGACAGCACGTCAACCTCGACTTCCCCAATCGACATACTCGGAGGGGTCCAGTAATGTTTATATGTCGTAAACACGATGCTGACAGACAATGAGGCAAATTCATTTACTATCTCTGCAAGAAATTCTAAAAACTGCTGGCCATGGGGACTTGCTCGAAGATTCTCGCATTTATGGAAGACTAAGATGTGATGACTGTGTGGGCTTTGCTGTAGAAATGAACCAATCATGTTTAACACTGAGTCTGTATCAGGCTGGCGCCCATGTAGGGGTTGAGGGGACCAGCTCTGGGCCACGAGACACAGGAAATCTTGAAAACTGGTGACTCCCTTACAACTGATATGGTGATCACATAGATGAGCAGACGGGGCACTGTTGAAGATGGCATCTGAAACAGCCTGGATGAAGATAAGAGCAAACAATTAGCATTTCCTGTTGTCCTACAAACTGACAGATAAATGTAAGTAAGCTATATAGAGCAAGTTTTAACATATACGGCTGTGAATCATGGAGAATTAATAAACAAGCCGAACAATATCTTGAGTCCTTATGTCCGGGCAATATGGCAGTACTTATGTCCGGGCAATATGGCAGTACTTATGTCCGGGCAATATGGCAGTACTTATGTCCGGGCAATATGGCCTCAGAGATGTGGTTTTACAGAAGAATCCTTAGAATTCCTTTGACAGCCAAGAAGAGTAGCCCAAATGTTTTGAAAGAGGCAGGTGCCTTGAAGAAAACTTTTCACAAACATCAGAAAGAGACAGTCATCATTTTTCGGGTCATGTTATGAGAAGAGGGAAAATGGAACATGTAACCACTGGAAAGATTTGTGGCAAGAGAGAGGAAGACAGTGCCAGAACATTCTAGACAGCCTTTTGTCATGGCATGGAGGGGTGTCAACAAACGAAATGATACACACAGTTGCGGATCACAGATTGTGGAGAGACATGCTCGCCCACGCCAGTCGGCAAGGCACATGTTGATAATGATGAAGTGAAGATCCTAATTCTCTGCCTAAAGGTGTACCGGGTAAACGGTTTGAACGCCAAATTATGTCTGACTATGCACGTACGGGATGTGTGCTGTCACCGTATTTGTTCAACCTGTACGCCGAAAATATAATGAGAAATGTAAGAGATGATATAAACAAGGAACAATATGATGCCCTAAACATCGGTGGTCATGAAATACCAGAAATTCGTTATGCTGATGATACAGTATTACTATCAACATCACAAAATGGTTTAGAAAACTTATTAACCTCACTCCAAAGAAATAGTGAAAATCATAACTTATTTCTTAACACAGCAAAAACAAAGATAATGCATACAAACAAAACTGCCATGGAGAAGGAAATATATGTTAATGAGGAAAGATTGGAAGTGGTGGAAAATTTCGAATATCTTGGGTCACTGGTTACCAACAATGGTGACACAATGAAAGAAATTAAACGGCGACTATCAATTGCTCTTCAAAGACTAAAACAACTGAATAAATTATGGAATTGTACAGATAGAATTACAAAGGTCAGATTTTTAAGAGCATGCATCTTTCCCATTGCAACATACGCCTGTGAGACCTGGACACTTACTAAACAAGCGGAACAGCGCATAAATGCATTTGAATATAAATGTTACAGACAGGTTCTAAGAATATCTTGGGTAAGAAAAGAACAATGCATCCATACTTCAAGAGCTGAATATTGAAGAGGGTTGGCTATAAAGACAATAAAACAAAGAAAATTGAAATATTTTGGTCACTTGAAACGTCATGGAGGTCTAGAGAGAACAATAATGGAGGGGTATATGCCTGGGAAGAGAGGAAGAGGAAGGCCAAGGAGAAGATGGGTGCAGGATGTGGCAGATGATCTCCAGATGGGTGTATCAGACGCAGGACATCTTGCTCATGATAGGAAGGTTTTCCGGAAGGTTGTTATGGCAGCGAGGTTCCGCGAGGGACATGCTACTGAATGAATGAATGAATGCACGTACAATGTCCGGCACATATTTGACAGAAAGTATAAAGTCTACAACTGCCACTCACATGTGTTCAGCGTCCCACCAGTTGCCTTTGCTCCCAAGTATTTTCCCTGATATTCAGTTAGTGCTGGGCAGACATGTGAGTCTAAGACCTTGTGAAATATCTGCCTTGATGGGGATTCAAACCCAAGGACAATGACCTGCCAGGAAAGCATGCTAGTTTGTCTTTTATCTCTTAATGGAGCACCTGGCCTCGACCAAATCATTTATTATAACTTATTACTTTGCTTGTCTTCTTTGCATTCACCGGTTGCAAACTCTGGTGGGAAGTTTTGGATGTCTGATATCCACTGGATGGACTTAAGTCTTGTTCCAGAGTGTTGCATGCACATCTGTTCTACAGATATGACTCATCTGTATGCAGACTGTTGGTTCCTTGCCACTCAGGCAGGTGGACTCCAACTTCAAAGAAAACCTCCAATTACTTGACTCTTATAACATGTTTGTTGGGGAAGCAGTGGGTTTATTCTTGTTTTCTCCACAATGGGGCCATGGAAAGATCCTGTATAACCATCTGACAACCGCCCTAAAAAAGTGGTACACACGGGAAGTAAAGATGGACAGTTTCTCAGTACGCTTACCTGTCTGACTAACGTTGACTTGCCAGTCATCGGAGCTCCATGAACTTGCAAGACTCTCCCTGGCACCAGATGGTTCTGGATATCTAACCTTTCTCCAGCCCGGATGTTGGTGTTGTGTCGGTAACCTCTACGAACTCCTGGCATCAGGTGGCGGCAATGATAAGCTCCAGCTTCCGGACTGGCTTCAGACATGTTAATTCTTTCACATGCCGGCCTGTTTGTAGGACAGTGTCCCAACATTCTGTCGGGATGATGTCCCCCTCTTGTGTGGGGATGCTGTCCTCGTGTTATGTGAGGATGTTGTCTATAATATGAAGATGTCACTTCAGCAAACATTGGCTGACTAGTCAAGCCCCGGTGTGTTTGCAAATCGTTCACGGAATTGCTTGTCAAGAAACGAGGAACAGTAGCAGCCCCATCTCCAGTCATTCTGGGGTGCTGCTCGACTTGTGGGATGTAGTAGTTGTACAGAACAGAGTCCATGTGATGGGGCTGGCTGTAGCTGTTTTGGGGATATCTCTGGTTGTTTGGATGTTTGTCATTGTGTGGAGGTTGGTTCTGGTGGTGTATAAGTTGGCTGTAATTGTGTGAGGGTTGGTTATAGTTGTGTGGAAGTTGATTGTAGTTGTGTTGGGGTTGGCTCTGGTTGTGTGGAAGTTGGTTGTAAGTGTGTGGGAGTTGGCTATAGTTGTATGAGGGTTGGCTGTAATTGTGTGGGGGCTGGTTGTTGTTGTGTGGGGGATGGTTGTTGTTGTGTTTGTGTGAGCACTGGCTCTGGTTGTGTGGAGGTTGGCTGTTGTTGTATGTGCCATAAACTGTCCCAGCAAGTCCTGACTCCTGCCCACACAGAAATCCAACAACTGGTGAGAAGTGCGTGGCAGCGCCTGTCTGCCTCTGCACATGCTGACCCTCCAGATGTGTGTGAGTGGGAACATTCAGGTTTTCACCCTCTGTTATCTGTGTATCATTATCACAGCCATGGGTACCGGCACACAACATAATCTGTGGCTGGTTCGCACTGGATGATCCTGGATGATACTGACTGGTCCTGTGTTTAGAAGCCTGTGAGGCCTGGTTCGGAACCTTGCACAGTCTTCATTTCCTGAACATGATGATGATAGTATGGGTAAGCTGGGACCTGATCTGAACGTCCAAAGAATGATCTATCTAATTCAATATTCTGCGTGGCAGTAAGACGTTTCTCTGGCTGGATCCTGCTGGCAGTAAGACGTTTCTTTGGCTGGATCCTGCTGGCAGTAAGACATGTCTCTGGCTGGACCCTGCTGGGAGTAAGACGTGTCTCTGGCTGGATCCTGCTGGCAGTAAGACATGTCTTTGGCTGGATCCTGCTGGCAGTAAGACGTTTCTCTGGCTGGATCCCCCGCCACGTCCACAGCTCCTGCAGTTCTGTCTCTATCTGTCTGCCGTTGAAATGGATTATTCATCATTACGATTGGACATTTCAATCCTGATGTGTCTACAGGCTGTCTTCGCTGAATACAAGAATTATTGGAAGATACATGTGGAGCTGGACAGAATCCAGGCTGAAACATCCGAAGTCTGGTTGCTTCTTCCAGATCTGTCAGCGTTACAGCTGCAGTTGTTGTATGTGCCTTGAGTTGATGAGACAAATTACTGAAACGCCCTTGACCCAAATACATCTGAGGATCACAGTTATCCATGGGAGTGTTGAGAAATTGCTGATGCATACTGATATCAAGAGACTAAGACTTTCAGGGATCCTGTAAAACACAGATGATTCTGTGAAACATGCAGTTACATTTCTGCCAGCTTCTTTATCTCAGCTAAATCTGGTTTTACAGATCAAATTCTTGATATATGTAAACATTTAGTTTGGCTGTTCCTGTGGCAACATCTCTGGCATATATGTGGTTACAACTGTCTTGATTCAACTGTCTTCACTCAACCATTTCAGGTGTTTCTTGACTCACAAGATGCAGCCTGTCAGTAATCGACTCATTGTTTGCTGTAATGTACAAATGAAGGCTGTTAAGATTTTACAATCTGAGAACTTCTGAAACCTAAAAAAAAAAAAATACAAGTTTTGAAAAAGTCATTTTGGTAGATTCTAGGAAAACACAGGAAGTTGATCCCAGATGCAGGGGGGGGGGGGGGGGGGAGAGAGGTGGGGGGGGGGGGGGGGGGGAAGGGGTAGTGGATATGGATAAGGGAATGTATGGAATACTAGTCAGGAAACACCGGATATTTGATTGGGTGTATGGATGAGTGGTTAAGGGTGTGGATTTTGGAATGGATTGGGGGGGATTTGGACTTTCGGGTAAATAACAAATTATAGGGTGTAGAGGAAGGATCGGGTGAAGACGAATGGTCTCTAGATGGTGCTATGGAATGGCGTGTACTGAAGATGTTTTAGATTACCAGTGGCAGGTGGATGAGTCGATGAGACACTGAAGTGGTGCATGTCTATGAGAAGGAAGAGATGATGGAGAAAGTCCTGGTGCTTTAGAAGACTTAACTGTCATCAAAACAGTGTCCTAAAGGTACCTTTGCAGCTACAAAAAAAAACTAAGATGCATAGGACAAGTTAACAGGGAGTTAGTTCAGACAGTATTCCTGGGCTGTCACCACCCCACAGTTAACGAAACCAGGAGAATGGCCAGCCAAGTATCCGTTAACAGTGTGTTGTTTCCCCTTTCCTTTTACAATGTGTTGTTTCCCCCTTCCTTTTACAATGTGTTGTTTCCCCTTTCCTCTACCGATATGTTTAAGACTGAATTCTAGGTTTGTGTCCATGTGATGGCATCCAAGGTGAATGTCTGATAGCTGCTGCAAGTTCTGCTCTTAACTGTTGCCACAACAGACTTCACCTTTCTGTACGTGACACTGTCACTTTCTGCAGATCTTCTTAATTTCCGTCTAATAAAATTACTTGTAATAACAGGTCTTAACTTCTATGAATGAATAACTAGGCCTGTACACAGTAGGACTTTTTCCATCTCACAGCTGTGTGTCGATCAACACCACTAGGGCCGTACAACGAACGACCAATACCTGGTGAAACAAAATGTCACCATCTGGATGAGGATAACCCGAGCACAAGTCACAGAAACTCCTTTAACCATTTGGTTATATTAGGGCCCCCAACTACAGCCAGGATGGGGCATTTAAAATAACGAAAAAGTGCATCCCACACTGGGGCAGAAAGTTTAACTGTATTTTGTAAGTGTAAATATTTTCTATATATTTGTCGAAATACAGTGGTATCTTTAAAGGCAAGCTGGCAAGTGGGGAAAAAAACCTGTTCAGAGACTGAAGAATCAAAAACACCAACACAATCATTTCAATATCTCAGGAACAACAGGTCCGGACGTGTGATAACGTTGAGACCACTTGGGTCAAACAAACAAGCGGCAGGAGATAAGGGGTCAATATAATAGCTAGGTCTGCTTTAATCCCCTGGGGAGTATTAGCTGACGTCTGACGCATGTTATCTCCCCTCTTTACATGTTTACCTGTCTTCTCTTTCAATCAACCCACATCACTGAGCAAAGATAGAGACTGGACATGGGACATACATCAGATATGGACAATATCTGGGTAATATGTCAGTACTTGTGTCCGGGCAATATGGCAGTACTTACATCCGGGCAATATGTCAGTACTTGTGTCCGGGCAATATGGCAGTACTTACATCTGGGCAATATGTCAGTCCTTACATCCGGGCAATATGGCAGTACTTGTGCCCGTGCAATATGGCAGTACTTACATCCGGGCAATATGGCAGTACTTACATCTGGGCAATATGGCAGTACTTGTGTCCGGACACTAAACATAGACATTGGACATGTATAGACACTAAACTACTGGTCTAAAATGTAGGATAGAAATGGCAGAATGCTAAGCTTTGAAGTTATTTTTGCATCTGACAGTGCTTTGCTAATGCATTTTCCACATATGGTTTCTCTGCAAGAGCTACTGAGTTTAGTGCTTGGTGCAGCACTGTGAGCTAATTTTCCCCTGTGGAATGCCTTTTATTTGTGCAGCGGGGCACAGGAGCAGAGCAACTACTGGGTGACCTGATTACAGTGAAGTTAAAACCTCGACTGAGACACTAAACATAGACACTGGACATGGACAGACACTAAAACAGACACTAGACATGGATAGACATTAAACATAGACATTGGACATGGATAGACACTAAACATAGACACTGGACAGACACTAAACATAGACACTGGACAGACACTAAACATAGACACTGGACATGGATAGATACTAAACATAGACACTAGACATGGATAGACACTAAACATAGACACTGGACATGGATAGACATTAAACATAGACACTGGACATGGATAGACACTGGACATGGATAGACACTAAACATAGACACTGGACATGGATAGACACTAAACATAGACACTGGACATGGATAGACATTAAACATAGACACTAGACATGGATAGACATTGGACATGGATAGACACTAAACATAGACACTGGACATGGATAGACATTAAACATAGACACTGGACATGGATAGACACTGGACATTGATAGACATTAAACATAGACACTGGACATGGATAGACATTAAACATAGACACTGGACATGGATAGACACTAAACATAGACACTGGACAGACACTAAACATAGACACTGGACATGAATAGATACTAAACATAGACACTGGACATGGATAGACATTAAACATAGACACTGGACAGACACTAAACATAGACACTGGACATGAATAGATACTAAACATAGACACTGGACATGGATAAACACTAAACACAGACACCGGACATGGATAAACACTAAACACAGACACTGGACATGGACAGACACTAAACATAGACACTAGACATGGATAAACACTAAACACAGACACTGGACATGGACAGACACTAAACATAGACACTGGACATGGATAGACATAAAACAGACACTGGATATGGATACACACTAAACACAGACACTGGACATGGACAGACAGTAAACATAGACACTATACATGGATAAACACTAAACACAGACACTGGACATGGACAGACACTAAACATAGACACTAGACATGGATAAACACTAAAAGACACTGGACATGGACAGACACTAAACATAGACACTAGACGTGGATAACCTAAACACAGACTGGACACTGACACAGGACACTATACATGGACAGACACTAAACATAGGACACTGGACATGGATAAAGACTAACACAAACATAGACACACTAGACACGGACATGGATATACATAAACACAGACACAGCACAGACACATGTTGGATAATGGGACAGACACTTAAAACATAGACATGGGACATATCAGGACATTAAACAGAACACAGGACATGGACAACAGGGACATTAGAAATACAAAACAACACTAGACAATAGACAGACACTAGACACATACAGACACTGGTTATAAATAGACCAACACTGGACATGGACAGACTGATTTTAGGGCATGGGTAGATCAACAATGGGCATGGACAGACAGACACTGGACATGAACAGACAGACATTAGGCATGGACAGACAGACACTGGACATGAACAGACAGACATTAGGCATGGACAAACGGATGCTGGACATGGATGGATAGACCAACACTAGGAAAAGATAGATAAACACTTGATATGGATAGACAGACACTGGGCATGAACAGACAGACATTAGGCATGGACAGACAGACACTGGGCATGAACAGACAGACATTAGGCATGGATAGACAGACACTGGGCATGAACAGACAGACATTAGGCATGGACAGACAGACACTGGGCATGAACAGACAGACATTAGGCATGGATAGACAGACACTGGGCATGAACAGACAGACATTAGGCATGGATAGACAGACACTGGGCATGAACAGACAGACATTAGGCATGGACAAACGGATGCTGGACATGGATGGATAGACCAACACTAGGAAAAGATAGATAAACACTTGATATGGATAGACAGACACTGGGCATGGGCAGACAGACAATGGGTATGGATTGACAGAGTTCATTTAGAAAGACAGACATGGTCATGGACAGGCTGGCTCTGGGTATGCATGAAAAGACAGACAATGGGCATGAACAGACACTGGGCATGGGTAGACTTATTAAACTTAGGCTGACAGACAGACACTGGGTATGGATAAACAGTCACTTTTATTCTCAGGCCGGATGTGCCTCTGACGTCATGTATCCATCTATTCAATGGCAACATCTACCTTTCCCCTCCCCCCCCCCCCCCGGGAGCCTGATTTTTCCGATAGTGTTGTTTTTAAGCAACTGCAGTTTTCTTTTCAACCAAATAATTCAGTGTTCTAGACCTGAAATATTTTTTTATGAGCCAGTTTTCTTCCAGGTCAGTTCTTGACCCAAGATGTTTTGGGAATTATTCGATAACTCTTCAGTTCATATGTATCCATTATATATATATATATATATATATATATATATATATATATATATATATATATATATATATATATATATATATATATATATATATATATATATCTATGTGTGTGTGTGTGTGTGTGTGTGTGTGTGTGTGTGTGAAAAGGGGGGTGGGGTGTCAGTAGCAATTTACGGGGCAGAATGACAGTAGTTATGTCCGGGCAATATGGCAGTAAAGTCAGGGCAATATGGCAGTAATGTCAGGGCAATATGGCAGTACTTACGCCCCGGCAATATGGCAGTACTTAC